GGTGGCTCCGGGGCTGCTGCTCCCTCCTCAGGTACCGCGGCGGGGCGGGGGCCCAGAGGCGTCGCAGTGGAGCCGCGCCCGGCCGCGGTAACGCCCAGGCGGCGGTGCGTGGGACTGAAATTGGCCTGCGGGCTCGGTTCCCTGACGCTGACCGCCGTTCCCATTTGGTTTGCCCTGTCTAATCCCGCCAGCTGCGGCTGAAGCAGCGGCCTGTGCCACAGAAGTGGCCGTACCGCAGCTCGTCTGTCTGCAGCTGCCACCGCACGGCTGGAATAACGCGCGAAGTAGGAGCTGTGTTTCCCACACAGCACTTGCCACTGGTGGGCTGTAGTACACGGCATAAAAGAAGTAAAACTGATCAGTTGTTTTCAGAAAATTGATGAGCATAAAAGAAAATTCTCATGGCTGAGTGCTGCTGGTTTTCTGCTCGAGTATTTCGGTGATAAGCTCTGACCCTATGAACACTTACACAACATTGGATGTAAATAAAACTGACTACAGGAGACCCGAAGTGTCACTGGATTGCAGCAAACTATTGCCTGTCGTACTGCTCACCTGCATGTACCATATGCCACCTTGAAGCGTGCTTTTTAATTTGTTTTTCAATATAACTGAGTATTAGCAGTGTGTTGGTACCAGATAAGATACATTTCCTCTCTGAAACGATTAATAATGCACTAGTTACTGTGCTTGTCTTCTTTTCTTGCACTTATATTTAAGTAGTATAACAGAATGTAAAACAAACTTACTTATTCACTACTATGCAGCTGCATTACAGAAGAGTGGTAGAGACTAGGTCACCTAGAAGGGCGTTGAGGTGTTCTTTTCCTCTTTGATACCTGTTTCCAACCACACACTGGTTATTTCTTGCACTTAACTTTCTATCTTGTGCTTCCAGGCAAAGCTTCCCTGTTCTGGCCAGCGTGAGGAGACATTGCCTGTCAGGCGCGAGCGGACGATGGCACCAAATAGGCGTGGGGCTGGGAGTGGCCTTGTGCGCAGTCCCAGTCGTGGAGGTAACGTATCAGGAGTGAGACACGTACAGCACCCACTTGTTAGAAACAGTTTAATATTCAAAACTGCTTGCTTAGCATTTTACAAACCAGTGCTTACCCTCAGAAGTGTATTTCTTCTTGGGGATCACAGGTGTTTAAACCACGTAGTCATTAAGGAAATGAGAACCACAGCATCTGCCTTCAATAACATCTTGCAAAAAGAGCTGCCTTGTAAAAGAGCAGTGAGAATTAGGTTGTCAACCTTGTAACCAGGTGATGCCTTTCCTTACCGTTACTTGTTACTAATGACATCCATAGGAGAGTCGGTGATCGTGCAAATATCTTGTCTTTCAGAAACAGAACTCGAGTTCTCTCAGTAACGATGCCTTGATTAAACGAGCAGTTTCTTTGGTAACAGACAGCACTTCCACACTCCTCTCTCAAACAACGTACGCGCTGATTGAAGCACTGACAGAGTACACAAAGGTAAGCTGAGAGACTACTCACTGCTAGCAAGCCAGTGCTGGAAATACTGAATTACTTGGCACTCAACTGCACCTGTTAAACCATACTTAAAATGGACTTTAGGTTTTTTTAATACATTTTAATAAAAGATGGAGGGGGGGTTGAAGATGTCAGGTCCTTAGGAAGCAGTGGGGTAGGGCTCACTGTTCTACACCAAATGCAGATGTTGTTTTTAGCTTTGTTAGACTGTTGCTTTGAGCTTGAACTTAAGCCAAAATGACCCATGTCCGTTTTAATTTTATAAATTAGTGCCAATTTGAGTAAAGTATTTGCATTCCTGATTACTTCCTTATTAGTACAGCAAGTATAGAAAGAGATGCAAATACTGTCCGTGCCTCCAAAATTGCAGTGAACTTGAGAACAAAGCAGCTTTGGGGCTGTTCAGCAATTTTGCTCATTAACACCAATTAATGCTGAGACAACATCAGAGATGTACAGATCGTCACGTCACTGTGTGAAATGATTCCCCGCAGGCAGTGTATACGCTGGTGTCTCTCTACAAGCAATACGCAAATCTTCTTGGGAAAATGAATTCAGAAGAGGTGGATGCAGTCTGGCAGGTGGTCATAGGAGCCAGAGTTGATGTAAGCAGTCGTCTCCCTTCCGTCACAAATCTCCCTCTGAAATTCTGCTCAGGAAGTTCTCATCTCACTTGCACACCCTTGGTTTGGAAGAGCTTTCAGATACTTTTACATGAAGTAAAGTAATCCTTTGTTTTACTCCTAGATTATACCTAAGGCTGGAATCCAGCTGGATGACAGCACTGCGTCTTTCGGAGATGGCAGCAGAAGCTGCATATCAATCAGGTAAGCACAAGCAGAAATACTGAGAATTTCTTTCCCCCAGCATTTAGGCAGTATTCATTGAATGAGAATGGAGTCGAGAGACACAGAACATACATTCACTTAACACCACTGATTTACAACTGGTGCCTGGTGTTTAGAGATGCTGAGAACTTCCATTCTTTTACTGACTGCAGGTCTAGTAGAAAAGTGTTTTGAAAACTGGCCCTGGAAACTTCACATGCGGTTTAGATCAAGACCAACTATGCCAGAAAAACATTTGAGGAAAGTGCTTAGTCATTTTTAAATGTAGTGTTCAAACACAGTTCTGGGAGCCACAGAAATAAAGCTGCCTAGGGGGTCCAGCAGGTCTTTCCAGCTGGATTCACTTTTATCAGAGAGTGAGAATATTTGCCTTTCACTCAAGAGAGAGATTAATTTTGATCTTTTCTCCCAGTATACACACTTGCACAAAAAGTGTAGAGATGTGATAGCTCTGAGATTGATTTCTAGGGCAAAGTTATTGGAGTGGAGAAGGGGAGGAAAGTGATGAATGCACAGGGACACCCTTTTCAAGAGACAGAATCTGTACGAGCACAGGAGGAGAAGGGATTTTGAGTTCAGGAGTGCCAGCGATGTTCCTGCTGCTGGCAGGTGCCAGGACAGGACATGGACTGGATGTTGCTGCCTCACCATGGCTGGGCTGGGCTCAGTTCTGAAATCCATGAGCACAGCTTGGTTGCTCTGATCAGACACTGGCTGTAACTAAACCACTTGAGTGGGAAGAATTTGGAGGAGGGAAAAAAAATCTCGACTCAGGCATGTTGTTGTTTAAGGCAAATGAACAGTGAATACATTTAACAATAATATAGCCCAGGAGCCATCAAAACACTTAGTGAAGCAGATGATAATTACAGACAGTAGTTTCCTTAATTGAAGGTTTGCTGAGTGCTCCTCTAACCCAATGCATTTAAATTATGACTTTTCAGGTGCAGACCAAGCCTCAGTTACAGCCCGCAGCCACATCCAGCTCGTGAAATCCCAGGTGCAAGAGGTGCGACAGCTGTCCCAGAAAGCAGAGACCAAGTTAGCTGAGACTCAAACAGAAGAGCTCATAAAAGCTCAGGGAGAGGAATCTTCATTGCCACAGGGAATTTTGGGAAGTACAGAGGCGGCTGAGGACCCTTACCTGCGGGAGGACTGAAAAAAAGTGACACTATAGCATATGTGAGAGTCATTCTCCAAGTGAAGGGTCCCAAACTTGTAAGCATGGAGTAGTGGGGAACTCCTGAAATAAGCCGATGGTTCCATTTTTCCCCAAACAGGATTGCTTTACAAATCAAGTCAGTTCCAAGTGTCTGAAAGGCCTTGGTCTTGTTTGTAACTTACCGTGTTTGTAATACTTAGGGACTCAATTATTTAAATGTTTAACTATGCAAATGTGAAAATGGCTATCGAGGATAGCTGGTTGTTAATTGTGTCTCTGCTGGGAGGGTCCTGCCACTCGTGTGATACGTTTGTGAGAGCTCTCAACGTACAGGATAAGTAGGTATCAGCCAAAGAAGTGTATTTAAAAGTTGCTGTTTTTCCACCTGTGAAATAAATTATGTCTGTTAGGAAATACTTTTATTAAACTGTGCAAAAGCATCTTGTGAGTGTGCCCATTTGAATAAGAGATTAAGATGTTTTCTATTTGAACTTAAAAAGTTTTCAGCAGAGCTGAGTCTGACAGCTGCATCAAGTGACACCTCCTTGCATCAGGGGAAACGTGCTGCAGAGCTGAAAACGTTCTGTGGAGTTACCCAGGTTGTTCTCAGAGAAGCTTCACAGTTCAGTAGAGCAACCGCTCACCCAGGAGTCTCCACTGGTAACACATCTGCCTTCCCCAGGAAGCAGTGAAGCAGTGGGAGATGTGATTTTGAAGATACTGTGGTTATAAACAAAGTTGTTGTGGCAACTGCTGCGTCCTTTACAAAGCAGTGAGCAAAAGCGACTTACACATATTTGAATGCTTTCCAGCACAAGTTTCAGAAAAATAATTCTCTCTTTTTGCAAGCTTAATGTTTCACTGCAGACTTAAAAGCCACAGGTGCCTTTCACTGCATTCATTTTCTAACTTTGCTTAATGTGAAATTCGCAACATTAACTGTACAGACAATGTAAACTTAAGCTGAGATTGCTTTGCAGAACAACGTCCACTAGAACTTCATCACTGCTGATTTGAGTCCGTGAGTCCCCAGTCATCAGGCTTTGTCAGAAAACACACATTAATCATAGCTTTTTCACCACACATGAGCATCTGATGCACTACATCTGTCTTGAGGTTGCTGTTACTAAATTGACTTGTGCCTGACGGGATTTTTTCAGCTGTAGCATAAGCCTGTGTGTCTGTGTGTCATCGTGCCTGCCCTTTGAACAGACGCAGTCTCAGCTGCACAGCACTGCACACTTACAGATTAAACAGTAAAGTAATTATCAGTCCGCTGCTCCTTGCTCCTGCGCCTCGCTGGGTGCTGTGTATCCAAGGAGGGTGGCGCAACAGAAATTGAAGCAGTCAGGAGGTCCCAAACGTGGCTTTGGGCTGAAGCACCGAGAAAGAAAACCACTGTGGTGAGGGGATTATTTGCAGCAGCAGCACAGCCACACCCTCAAGAGCCAAACGCAACTTCAGGTCAGCCTCTCACCACAACTGCCCCACTTTGTTACACGCTGCTGCTAAGGAACCACTGCCAAGCCACTGATCCAAATGCACGTACAGGTTGTGTTCCTTTCAGGATGCCACAAGAACTCCGCTGAGATGCTTACGTGGCAGAGGTTTGGCTTAAGACAGAGAAGCACTGCTATGGGAGCCTGCAAAACGACCCATTCTTCCCCTTTCAGAGCTGCTCCCAGCCCCTCGCTGCCCCACTTCTTGTTTCACTGCATGCCCTGCTCTTGCTTCCCAAGACCCAGCCTGCGCCCTGCAACCACAACAGGACCCAACACATCAGCTTGGTCAAGTCAAGATGGGCGCGAGGAGCAGGAGCAGCTCCGTGTCACCTCCAAAATGGGCTGGAAGAGTCCCACAGCTTTATGGGGAAATACGTGGTGCCTATTGGAGCATGCACCCCACTACAGCCATAACAGACATGACACCAATCGCTACATTAACATTACTGAGTTTGCATTTGGAGTCATCTCGTGGATCAGAAAAATGCTGCTGTGGCCATCCACAATGGTACCCACCCTGTCCAGTCTCTGCTCGGGAACAGGCAGCAATGCCCAAAACAGGGGTTTGCTGCTGGTCCTGGTGGGCAGTGAAGACACTGAAGACAGCACAACACAAATCACTTCAATTTCTGTAATCACACACTTCCTCTCCGCCAGCTGCCTTTCTGTAAAGCTTCCAGCCTGCTTCCTGCTCAGACACGGCACAGCACTTCTGACCTGGCAGCAAGGTACCCTGAAGCTGATAAGCTTGACAAAACTATCACCAAATCTTAGCTTTATATTTTATCTTTGCCAAATTAGCAACTCCAGTGCATTCATAGATTAATCACTTCAGTATCAATACATCTGGTCTGGACGGGGGCAGAGAACAGCAGCTGCTGGCAGTAAAGGAAGTGGCAAGTTTCCATTTCCGCATAACCTCATCCTCTCTAATATCAATGACTCAATGTAAATGCCCAGCACCGCATCTCAGCCTTCTCTGGTGCTCAGTGCTCTCAGCTTTCAGAATACTCCTGTGAAAACACTTTTTAAAGCTGTCTTTTATTTATACCAAACATTACACTAACACCACCACAACCCAAACACCTCCCATACAACATGAAAAGCTACGGTCACCGTAACTGCCACTGCTGTTATTCAAGACAAGTTGCTCCTCTCAAACCCAGCCACAAAGTGTTTGTGCAAAAACTTCCAGTGCAAGTAATAAACTTCTGTAAAACCCAAAGGGCCTGAGGAGAAGCCCAGTCCTTCAGATCACTGTGCTGTGTTAAGGCAATACATTTTTGAGGCTTTTTAGTCCCCACTCCACTCACTTTCTCCTGCAGTCTGGTAGGACCTGTGGCACTGCTGGCCTGGGACAGCGGCGTTGCACTGCGGTGGAGCCAGCAGCACACCCTGGCCTTTCTGCCGCCCCTCCAAGTGCTCTGTCACCCATTACTCACCATCATCTTTCCTGCAGGAGGCTGAATTTGGCCAGTGGTCAAACATCACTTTGGTGTGGCTGAGCCTCCATAGCAGGTGGCACCTCGCTCACGTTCCTGTGGCCGTTGTGACATCCTCTGGGTCCAGTCTGGCTGCGTGGAGCCGAGCCCCCCGTGCCGTGTCCCCCTGTGCTACCAGCGCCGTCCCCACCCCATGACAGTTCACCTGCCTCAGTAACCCACCGACAGAAAGACTCACTGCAAACAACCCCTGTGGCTCAGGTACAGTCTGTTAGTAGAGGACACGTTCCTATCACAACCTGATTTTTAGTTCAGTACCATGTACCCCATGTCTGTCCCCAGTCACAATCCCACTGTGCTCAGCAGCAGCTGCTTTTTCAGCCCCCTCTGTAGCTGTGCGTTACTGACACCGCACACCGGATGCTGTCATCCTTCACCAGTGTCCACATGATCCACATCTCGGTCGGGTTCAGTCTGTGCACAATCATGAGCTCTTTGTACAAGCACGGATCAAAAGCATTGAAAGGTCTCTGGATCCCGAAAGTCTTGAAGCCAGCGTGGTTCTTCGGAGTCACCCCCATCTTTGCCAGACACATTCCCACAAAGACATCATCGATGGGGAAGAGCTCCACATCCTCGGCGGTGCTCTGCAGGCGGCGCACTGTCTCTCTAGACATTACATAGCCCCCTCCACCCGCGTAGTGAGGGTAGAAGGAGGCTCTGTACATGGACTCTGGAATGAAGTACTTGACCTTGGTGTTCCTGATGGGCCGGGCGTTGGCAATCACATCCCCAACAAAGAGATCCTGCTCAGGGTCCAGCTCTTGGAGGAACTCCACGATGTTGTAAGTGTTGACAAAAACATCGTCGTCGCCCTTCAGCACAAACCTGGCGTGCAGGCAGTCCTCCGTGAACCAGCGGAGGAAATGCAGCTCCTTGAGGGTCAAGTTGAAGAAGTTGTCAATGAAATCCCACTGCAAGATGTCATTAAACTCCTGGCTCTCGTAAGCCAGCAGCTGGTGCAGGGGCTGCACCTGGATTTTGGTTTCCGAGCGCCCCAGAAGGAATACCAGCCTGATGTGCTTGCCACCAATGGAGACCTCTAAGTTCCGGCAGTGCTTGTATGTTAAGAAAACGCGGTGAAGCTCCGGGAGGGTGAGAGAAAAATTGGCGAGGGTCAAGTCTGGCAAACACTTGCTGGGTTCAGCATTGCCTAGAAAAAAAGACTTCAGTTTGTGGTTCGCTACATCCACTTTCTCGAGTTCCGGCAGTGCTTGTATGTTAAGAAAACGCGGTGAAGCTCCGGGAGGGTGAGAGAAAAATTGGCGAGGGTCAAGTCTGGCAAACACTTGCTGGGTTCAGCATTGCCTAGAAAAAAAGACTTCAGTTTGTGGTTCGCTACATCCACTTTCTCG